TTGGCCTCCCAAAGTGCTGGGAAGACAGGCATGAGCCACCACGCCTGGCCTATTTTTCTCAAATGTACACATCACATCACTCCACTGTGCTCTAAACTCTCGCATGGCTCCCACCTTCCTCATAGAGAAGGTATGCTCCTCACCATGTGTGGTTTCCAGGGTCCCAGTGCCCCTCTGACCTCACTTCCTCTCACCCTGCACTCCCTCACTTCCTCCCTCCATCTGGCCACAATGATCTCTAGTTCTTCCTCACACATGCCTAACTACAGCCCACCTCTGGGCCCTTGCACTTGTGGGTTCGTCCACCTAGAAAACTCTTCCCCCAAAACTTTACCTGACTCACCCATCACTTCATTCAGGCCTCCAGTCAAACGCATATCCTCAGAGAGACTTTGCCAGCTATCATTCCCTTCCTATGTATATATACCCACACTATATTTCTTTCTTTTTTTTTTTTTAGATGGAGTTTTGCTCTTGTTACCCAGGCTGGAGTGCAGTGGCAAGATCTTGGCTCACCGCAACCTCCGCCTCCTAGGTTCAAGCGATTCTCCTGCTTCAGCCTCCCAAGTAGCTGAGATTACAGGCGTCCACCACCATGCCTGGCTAATTTTTGTATTTTTAGTAGAGATTGGGTTTCGCCATGCTGGCTAGTCTGGTCTCAAACTCCTGAGCTCAGGTGATCCACCTGCCTCAGTCTCCCACAGTGCTGGGATTACAGGCATGAGCCATCATGCCCGGCCCCCATACTATATTTCAGAAAGTAATAAGTGCTATGAGAATGCAATCTGTCTCAGGGCAAGGGCTTGGCCTTGCTCACCACGTGGCACACCATATGCATGTAATACATATTTGCTGAGTAAATGAATGCAGGCTCCAGGCCCTGCATTCCCAGAAGCAATGCCAGGTGTCCCTGATTCCCCAGGTCCTTTTCTTCCTGGCCACACCATGTGACTATATTTCCAGCCTAGGTCAGGCACGGTGGCTTACACTTGTAATCCCAGCACTTTGGGAGGCTGAGGCGGGTGGATCACTTGAGGCCAGAAGTTTGAGACCAGAGTGGCCAACACGGTGAAACCCCATCTCTACTAAAAATACAAAATTAGCCAGACATGGTGGTGGGCACCTGTAGTCCCAGCTACTTGGGAGGCTGAGGCAGGAGAATCGCTTGAACCTGGGAGACGGAGGTTGCAGTGAGCTGATACTGTGCCACTGCACTCCAGCCTGGTCGACAGAGCAAGACTACGTCTCAAAAGAAAAAAAATTTGCAGCCTCCCTGGCAGACAGGTTAGGCCACTAGACTGGCAGTGTGTGAGTGCTGGCTTTATCCCTAAAACCTTCTGTGTAATCCTCCTTCTGTCTTTTCCCATTTGCAGCGTGATGCAGAAGGTCCAGCATGTGACTCCCAGGATGGTGTGATGGAAGGACCCTGCTCCCAATCACCATGGGACAGGATTCTGCCGGACACTCACATCCAGCCACTATGTGAGCAATAAGTCAATGCCTACTAATGAAGCCACTGCGATGCTGGAATTTTTACAATTCTTCACCCACCCTCACAAATACAGTCCCACACCTCCCTTGCCCATCCTGTCTTTAGCCTGTTTCATGCTGTGACATCCCATGGAGAGGGTAATTATGGGCAACTGGGAAGGACAGAGGACAGAAGGATGCCCCATGACCTAAGTCCCCAATGACAGGCCTAAAAATGGGGTCTGAATACACACGAAGCACCTAGAACAGTGCCTGGCACACAGAGGTGCCACAAAGATAGTGGCTGTTGTCATTCGGTTGGGAAGGGGGCTGTCAATGGGCTGGGGTTGGCTGGGGGAGGCCGCCAGGGGCAGGCAGGAAGCCCGAGGAGGGATGAGGGGCACCTGGGCTTGTCGGCTGCCCCAATCTGGCTGGCGATGCCATCCATCCAGGAAAGCAGGTCGCGGACTTGGCTGTGGAAGCGCAGGGCGTCGGCCGTGGAGCTGACGTGCAGGCGGGCATCTTCGCAGGCTGACAGCAGCTCTTTCCAACCCTGCAGCACCTCCTGCTCCCGGCTAGCGATGGCCTCGGCATGTTCACCCGCATACACCGTCCGCAGCTGGGCCGCCCCCTCCTGCAGCTGCCGTACCTGAGGGGCATGCCAGGTCGGGCGCCAGCCCTCCATGGGGCCCAGGCTGTGCCCTCCCTCCCGCCATCTGCTCCAGCACGGAACCCCAAGATATAAGGAGCCTCACACTGTGATCCCACAGCCAGGCTCCTGTCATATCTGCTGCCTGATTTCTCTTTGACTTACCCGTGTTCTGACTTCTTTTAGTTCTACTACCACATCTCTTTCAGCCCACTGCCTGATTTCTTTTGGTCTGAGAGCTCTATTTCTATTGGGTCTGTCACCTATGTTTTCAGACAGGCCCACCTCTACCTTGGGTCTGTCAGGAAACCCCCTTCCACTTTGATGTCTTTTAGATGTGCTAATTTTTTTTTAACTTGGTTTATTTCAAACCCACTCCTTCATAGTAGCCCAGTTTCCTACACAATGTCTGTTCAATTGCTGTTAGTCCCCTACCCAATTTCCATTCATTCTGCTGTATGAGTTCTGCTCACTCTATCTTTCGGGTTTTGGGTTTTTTGTTTGTTTGTTTGTTTTGAGACAGGGTCTTGCTCTGTTGTGCAGGCTGCAGTGCAGTGGCACAAACACAATTCACTGCAACCTTGACACCCTGGGCTCAAGTGATCCTCCTGCCTCAGCCTACTAATAGCTGGAACTACAGGTGCATGCCACTGCACCAGGATACACACATATATGTTGTAATGGAGATGGAGTCTCACTATGTTGCCCAGGCTCATCTTGAACTCCTGGTCTCAAGCAGTCCTCCCACCTCGGCCTCCCAAAGTGCTGAGATTACAGGCATGAGCCACTGCGCTCAGCCTGTTGCTCACTCTGTTGGTTAAATCTCCTGATTTCTTTTGGCGTGACCTCCCCATCTCTAACAGATCCACCACTTATTGCTGTCAATCTCTCAGCCTGATTTCTAAGTCACTTGTAGGATTTATAAAAATAATTGGGCTGGGCATGGTGGCTCATGCCTGTAACCCCAGCACTTTGGGAGGCCAAGGCGGGCAAATCACTTGAGGTCAGGAGTTCAAGACCAGCCTGGCCAACATGGTGAAACTGCATCTCTACTAAAAATACAAAAATTAGTTGGGTGTGGTGGCTCGCACCTGTACTCCCAGCTACTCAGGAGGCTGAAGAGGGAGAATCATTTGAACCCGGTAGGCGGAGGCTGCAGTGGGTCGAGATTACACCACTGCACTCCAGCCTGGGTGACAAAGTGAGACTCCGCCTCATAATAATAATAATAATAATAATTGCCAGCTGGGCACAGTAGCTCATGCCTATAATCCCAGCACTTAGGGAGGCCAAGACGGATGGACCACCTGAGGTCAGGATTTTGAGGTCAGCCTGGCCAACATGGTGAAACCCCGTCTCTACTAAAAATACAAAAATTAGCCGGGCATGGTGGCGTGTGCATGTAATCCTAGCTATTTGGAAGACTGAGGCAGGAGAATCGCTTGAGCCTAGGAGGCAGAGGTTGCAGTGAGCTGAGATCAAGCCACTGCACTCCAGCCTAGGTGACAGAGTGAGACCTTGTCTCGAAAAAAACCAAAAAAACAAAACAAAAATTGCCCAACTTCTACCTTCCATTAGACCTGCAACCCGATTTCTTTCAGTCCTGCTCCCTGAGTTGTATTGGGCCTGCAGCTTCATTTCCATCTGACTGCTCAGATCCACCTCCGAATTCTGGCCACACCCTCCGCCTAATTTCTAATATCTCTGTTGCCTTTTTCATTAAATTCACCCCCATCAAATTACTTTCAGAAAAGTCATATGATTTCTATCACAGACCCGTTATCTAATTTCTTTTCTTTTCTTTTTTTTTTTTTTGAGGTGAAGTCTCGCTCTGTCGCCCAGGCTGTAGGGCAACGGCATGATCTCGGCTCACTGCAAGCTCCCCCTCCTGGGTTCACGCCATTCTCCTGCCTCAGCCTCCCAAGTAGCTGGGACTACAGGAGCCCGCCACCATGCCCGGTTAATTATTTTTTTTCTATTTTTAGTAGAGATGGGGTTTCACTGTGTTAGCCTGGTTGGTCTCAATCCCCTGACCTTGTGATCCACCCTCCTCGGCCTCCCAAAGTGCTGGGATTACAGGCATGAGCCACCACGCCCGGCCTTTTTTTTTTCACTTATTTTGGGTTTTAAACAA